TCATCCATATTATGTGGTGTTTTGCAGACTCTACATTATTCTTTAGTGCTGCATAGCATTCCAGTATGTGTATGTACCATAGTTTGGTCATCCACTCTTCCGCTGATGGGCACGTAGGTTGTTTCCATCTTTTTGCTATTGTAAATAGTGCTGTGATGAACATGAACGTGAATGTATCTGTTCCTATCCTGGCTCTCACCTCTCTAGGATATATACCTAGTAATGGGATTGCTGGGTCAAATGGTATCTCCAATTCCAACTTTCTAAGGAATCGCTATATTGCTTTCCACAGTGGTTGTGTCACTTCACAGTCACACAAGCAGTGTATGGAGAGTTCCAGTCTCTCCACATCCCCACCAGCATTTGTTATTTTCTGTCTCATTGAACCTTACCATCAGTACGGGGGTGAGATGGTATTGTTGTTTTGATTTAAAATGTGTATAAATTCTTGAACGGAAAACTAACTTGCTCTGTAAACTTTCACCCAAACCATAATAATTAAAAAGGGGGGGGGGGACAAAGTCAAAGCCATACACACACATGCACATACACACACACACCACAAAACCTTGAACCATTAATTTATATTCCCAGCAAGATGCAGCATCAGATCAAAGACTGAATTATCTGGCCTTGAGTTTCCACTGCTTTCTAGGGTTTTTATTTTCTTTCTTTTAGGTTCAGAATGTGTTGCTTAAAAAAAAAAAAAAAAGAACTCTACCCCCTTTATGTTATTATGTGCTGTCAAGCCGTACCCGACTCATAGCGACCCCTCCTTGGGTTTCCGAGGCAGTATCACTACGGAAGTAGATTGCCCCATCTTCCCTCTGAGGAGTGGCTGGTGGGTTTGAACCGCCAGCCTTCTGGTTAGCAGTCAAGTGCCTTAGGCACTATGCTACCAGAGCTACCCCCTAGAGGGGGAAATTGATATTAGCTTGGTATTTATGTCCCTGAAGTACCTCAATTATGTTGTCCCAAGTTAGAATTTCTCCAGTCACTGGAATAATGTATATTTATATCAGGCAATGATTGGAATTTCTAATGAAATATTTAACCAAATCAATAACTACTTTCATAAAATTGCTGCTATTCCCAGGAGACTTTTTCCTCCTTAGAATACCTGATCAAATATAAAAGAATAAGAGACAACAATTTCTTACAGAGCAATCAGGTAGTCCCTGTTTAACCAATCACACTTTTTGGTTAACCAAAAAGAGAAAGAGGAAGGGGAGTAGCAGTTGCCCATGTGAATGAAGGAGACCCAGTGGATATAATGTAATTTGACTTTCTGAAGTCTTTGTCCAGATTTCACAACTAAAATTATTAAAATAATTGATTCCCTGCACTGATAGATTAGGTCATTCTTCATAAACATTTACTCTCTCCCCTTCCCACCTCCCTGGGGGAAGTAAGTATCCTGTCCTACTCCATGACTGTAGGCTTTGCCATGTGACTTGATTTGGTCATCAGAATGTTTAAAAGCATGACTCAAGCAAAGGTGTGAAATGTGTTTTCATGATTGGGATTGCTCCCTTGCTTCTACCGTCAGAAGTAGGGTTCCCAGATAAAATACAGAATATATGCAATATTTGGAACATACTTATACTAAAAAATTCTTGGTTGTTTATCTGAAATTCAAATTTAACTGGGTGGCATGGGATCACCATAAATCAATTCTACAGCAATGGGTTTGGGTTTTGGGGTTTTAAAAAAATCTGACAAGCCAAATTCAGAAAGAAACACAAACTAACCCATGGCTAGAAGCCAGTCCCTGCCTTGATCAGTCAAGTCCCAACTCATCTGCAGATACGTAAAGAACTAAATGTGTTGTGTGGTATGGCATTGACAGCTTGTGGCTGTTTTTTTATGCAGCAGTAGCTGACTTATTCATTTATTCATGACAGCAATGAGAAACTAGTTTGACTTTTTCATAATCCAAAACCAAAAAAAACAAACCCACTACCGTTGAGTAGATTCCGACTCATACTGACTCCCGTTGGGTTTCCCAGGTGGTAAATCTTTACCGAAGTAGATTGCCCAGTCTTGCTTCCCTGGTGTGGCTGATGGGTTTGAACCATCAACCTTCTGGTTAGTAGTCAGATGCCTTAGACACTATGCTACCAAAGCTCCTTTTCATAACCCATGGTACATATAAATACATTTCCCACCTCTGGGGTTTCTAGGGAAGCTTTTGTCCCATGTATAGTATGTGCTGGCATGTGGGGCAGGGATTTGCATAACTGCATAAACAGAAGAAAGTTCTTCGGCAACATATTGCAATCTTGAGAGGTTATTGTATGAAGTGGTGCATCCTGAGAAGTGATGGTCCAAAACTTTTGTATCTTTGGGCTTCTATATAGTAAGATAAGGCTTGTAAGTATATTTACAGATTCCTGTGTGCTTTTGGGAAGGTGCAGTGTTCAGATTAGGTAACATTCAAGTGAATATTTTTTTCCATGCCTCATTCCACGTATCCCACCACCAGAGTCCATTGGGACACATGTGCCCCCCACAAAAATACCTAACAAAAATTTTTAAACATTCAGTGATTCATCATGAATTCTGTTAGTGAAAAAATAACACTATATCTACAAAATCTTACAAACAAAAAATAATTTGGTAATGAAAGGGTTATCAATATACCAATTAGGGCACAAAAGACAAGCATATACTTTTCAGTAAAGAAAAGAAAAATAGGAGAGTGCCCAAGAGTCTGTGGCAGGGTTGAATATATTTTAAATTTTAATAAACTTTCTAGAAGCTATAGGTTAATAAATTTCTAGGTTTATAGATAAAATTAAGCTCTTGTGGACAATATAAAGTGAATCTGTTCATGTTAAATTATTATTAAGTTTTATAAGCATATTTGTTGAAAACACAGGCTTAAGAGTAGACATGCTTGGGTTAGAACCCAAAACTTGTTATTTAATTGCTGTGAGACCTTGAGCAAATTACTTAATGTCTCTAACCTTCAGATTCCTCCTCAATAAAATGGGGAGAATATTAACTACCTCAATTGATTGTTAGGATTATTAATAAAACCAAAAAAACACACTTATCGCTGTTGAGTCGGATCCGACTTGTAGCGATCCCTCCTTGGGTTTCCAAGGCAGTATCACTATGGAAGTAGATTGCCCAACCTTCCTTCTGAGGAGTGGCTCGTGGTTCAAACCCACCAGCCACTCCTCAGAAGGATTAGCAACCAAATGCCTTAGGCACTACACTACCAGAGCTCCTAGAATGATTAATAAGGTAAGATAAGTGAAGTAGCATCCTGGAGGATACCACAGCAATAAATGGTAACTTAAAGCTCTTACACTCTCTTACAGGAGCTCTGATAGCATA